GGTCTGGGAGATCTTTGATTTCCAAATGGCTGATAAAAACAACTACAGTCGAACCTCCGGTTGCGACCACCTCTCCTCAGTAACCAGTTTTCCAAAATACCAAAAGTTTCCAAGCCAAATCACTATATTTGGAACTTCTCGTTAGCGACCGCGACCACTTAGAGCTAAAAATTTGAAATTTTCTTTTGCTTTTAGTCTCTCAATAAGCGACCACTTGACAGATAATAGAGGGAAAATTGGATAATAAGGTGTTCTAACATTATCGCATCACTGGATGGTACAAGAGACGGCAATTTCTCTATGGGAAGTACCCGATTTTTTCTCAAAATCGACTTTTCACGTGAATAAAACATTTAAAACATGGATTAAGTCTCACTCACGCAGTTAACTTATGCTAATGAGGCAAAATTGTGACCCAGTAAAGTCTAAGCTCTCGTAAGCGACCACCTCCCGTAAGCGACCTGCTAGGCATGACGTTTTAGGTGGCCGCTTACGGGAGGTTCGACTCTTTTTTGCTCATGTACCTGCTGCACCCAAACTGTCAAGCTGTGACGGTCTCCAAAACGTTTCCGTTCAACTGGTCAGTAAGCCTGTTTGAAGTGTATCTACAGTATTTAAGTTTGACAGGAGTTTGAACTCCAAACCGAGGAACTGAACATGACCTGCCTGTGTTCTCCCTTTCTTCACCTCTTTAGACGCTTGGAAACAGAGCACTTACCTATTCAGAAAATATACTTACTCAAAATACTTTATCTTTGTTGTTTTACAGGGTCAAGAAAATGACATAATTCTTATTTCTTTGGTCCGAGGCGAAAACAAAAAGATTGGATTTTTGTCGGAGAAGAACCGTCTATGTGTGGCGCTCTCTCGTGCACGTTGTGGTGTGTATCTTTTCGGTAATCGAAGGACGCTGACGGCAGCAAGAGTTACGCCAAACTACTGGAAGGTGCGCATTTGACTTTTTTGCCTTTTTAAAGTTACTTGGAGATGTCCGTCCACCCTTCGTTTGAATGAAAGCCGTCAGTAATGTATGCTAAATACTAGCTGCCTGACTTCGTCAGATGTTATTACTCATAATTGCCATATTCAACATAGACCGTCATTGGCAAATCTGGAGGGGCCTTTTTTTTGGGGGGGGGGGTTTGGAGGAACCTGAAAACTGCTAACAAGCTAACCGGCAACAGTATGGATGTGTCTTCGCTCCTGCGCAGCCTTCTAGCTCAGTGGAAATTGTTTGTATTTGATCTAGTGCAGCTAGGAATTAGCTAACTTCATTAAAAAAAAAAAACGATATAAAGGTTAAGTCTGCATTCAGGTCAGTGTCCGATCACTCCGGAACTTATCGCGGCTTCCTTAGCATGAATCGCCTACGGGTTTGTTTTACCCCGCTCCCCAGTATTAAATCCGATATCTAGTTATACCCCGAGGAAGTACTGTGAGACTCAAATGTCTTAACCCCAGGGCTCGAAACGAGATAACTCGATCGAGTGTGCTAACCATTGGGCGACAGTGCCTCCTTCTCGCTGAAAAAATGGAATTAAAAAGCGAGGATCCTTCTTTAGGTTATCGTGGACTACATGAATGAGAAAGATTGCCTTGGCTGGACTTTTCCATTTCATCCAAGTGTTAAAAGCGTAAGTAGCACGTACATTGCACATTCCTCCCCTTTATATGTAAATCGTTCATTTGTGTACCCCGAGAGATTGTTTGTTTCTCTCTCTAGACAATGACACAATTCTGTTTATTTTTTCCAACGTGTACATGTATATTAAGTACAAGCCAGCTAACAACTGACGGACTTTCCATATTTAACATTCCGTAGTTCAAACTAAAATACTTCAATGCTCTTTTAAAATTGCATGGCTGTTAGAAAGGTGTTTTCAAGTAATCCGGTGTTTCAATTTACTATGGCACCAAAATGTCTCGAGTGGCTGGTTAATTTATTTTTTTTTTAATAATAAACTTTTACTTTTATACAGTACAACCAGTTACATTACTAACACTACAATACTTACGCAACAAACATTACAATACATCCACTTACACAACTTAGAATACAACACAGCTACTTCACATTGTTTGCAATAGTAAAAAATATACATAGAAGAGAAAGAAATTAAAACTAACAAAACGTAAATAAAAATAAAAGACGAAAAGGAAAAAGAAGAAGTGGCACATCAGACAAAGATATTTGGGGCAGCTCATGCACACACTGTTATCCATTTTGCTCGGAATTTCGTCAGTGTATATACACATACACGGCTGTTTAAAAGTGCTATATTTTAACTTTTCAGGATGAGAACAGTCCCGCCACTGTTAGTAAGTACTCATATTGTTTTGTGTCATTTGTAAGGCTTTCATCACAAACCTTTGATACTTCCTGAATGATATTTTGTACGTTTGCTTAAGACCAGCTGGAGGGAAACACCCATTTTAATGGAGAAATCTGTCGTAAGGGTGGGCATGGGGGGTAGGGGGGGGGAGTTGGGCGTGGTGATTTAAAAAGCCCACAATAGGAGAATCTTTGTTTGCAGTATGTCTCATTAGCATAAGCGATACAGTTTCTGATGGGGCTACAGAAACATTAGTTCTGAATATTGTAAGGGCACAGCACGATTAACTGTCCCAAGGAATTTGAGCCCGATGTATTGAATACTTTTTGTGCGACGCGGGTTTAAAAACTCGACATTCTACAAAGAATGTATGAGCTTGCCACCCAGACATTTTGCAGCTGTTGAAAGCCAATTTCTCCTCGAATATTACAGCCAAAGAGCCAAACATTTCACCAATTACAAAGTTTCACAAGCTCTTTAAATGTTTGTAGTCAAATCGTGTCTAGCATGATGCCTTCTATGCGCAAAGTCGTATGTTCAGTTAATGAGGAAAAATGTAAACAATGACGTCAGCAAAGATTCGCCCATAAAACAGTTGTATTTTTTGGCCTTGTAATCACCCCTGAACAATAACACACGGGTGCTTTTAATCTTCGCTAATGTAAACCTGCATGTAGTGTGATTGAAAGCGTCTGCCCATTCTAAAATATTTTCTCGATTAACGAAATTCCATTTCCTTAGAAACAAATCAAACAGTTTTAGCCTGTTTGCGTGATAGTACCGTGTTATTTTAACGCTGTCAATTTTTTTCCTGATTTAAAGCAAATATCAATTTGAACTTTTCAAATGTGGAGCAAGTTAATGTCGCTGTTGGAAATCATGCAAGTGTGATTGCAAATCCAGGTAAGTTTATATTTCTACTTTCTGGTTTTCAAATTTTAGGCATTTTCGGGTTTTTCTATGAGAAGGTTTGAGTTAAAATTTTGTTCAGCATTGCATAAGTTTGCGCCTCAGATTTGTCTTGCTTTTCTTGGCTTCAAACTACTTA